GTTACTCCTGTAGGCTTAATAATTTCTCCAGTATAGGTTCTTAATTTCATTTCAGTTTTGAATATTTTGTTTGCTATGTTTAGCTTTTTGTATTGTTTCAGTGACATTGACGATAAGGTCGCTCCTGTGTCGAATTCCATGCAAACATTTTTGTTCTCTATTTTAACTGTTATCGTATATTTTTCACATATCTCGCTTTTAATGAGGTTTATATCTCCCGTGCTTTCGATACTTATGTTACTGCTATTCTCATCTAACTGATTGGTGTTTATGTTTCGTTGTAAGCATACTCTCGCCAGATGACCAGTTTTCTTCCATTTTAAGCAGGTGGATTTGATTGCACCACATACATTGGATCTGTGATCGATTTTACCGCATCGGAAACATCTCCCTTTCAAGTCTCTTATTGTTATCGGAGGTGATAATGAAGCGGACGGCTGTATTATACTTGGTCGTAAGGATGCGGGACGTAGATAGTTGAGTTTTTGTGCCGAGCTCGAAATTTTGTGTACTGTGTCAGAATGTTTGTATAAGTCTTCGGATATTTTAATATTTTCTGATTTTCCTATTTCTATCGACGTAGCTATATCTAGTAGTTTTTTAAATAATTGTGATGTATCTCGTTCTTGAATAATTTTTGTTCGTATATCACTGTCCTTCAATCCTCGAATAAATTGAAGAGAGGAAACTTTCTAAGGTAGATTTTTGACAATTTTGGCACTTGAATTCACAGTTCAATGAAAGTTTCTTCAGTTCTGAGGCGTATGTTGCTACTGTTTCATCTTCGTGTTGTAAACGTGTAATAAACTTGTATTGTAACGCCCATATGCTAGGTTTTGGATCTACGTAATCGTCTAGTACTTTTGTTAGTTTTTCAAAATTCATATTAAGCGGATCTTCTGGAGAGCACAAATCATGTAATCTCTCGTGCAATTCTGGGGATAAAGCAGCAAGTAAAATATACACCTTTATTTTAGCGTCTTCGATCTTGTTTAGGAGGAAAAATACAGTAAGTCTTTTCGTAAAATTTCTAAATGTTTCTGTTTCTTGAAAAGGCTGAAAGTTCAATTTTTGGGCCTCGCTCTGGCTGTATAGGTATATTAGTCTGTGACTGTGAAGTGGATGGTTGTAAAGGTGGACTATTTCTGTTCTGTAATACAAGAAGTTTCGTTTTTATGATTGTACATCGTTCTTCAAAATTGAACCTTGTTTCGATTTCTTGGTTAAGATGTTCTTCTGGGGTTTCCAATTCTATGTTGTGTTGTATATCTTGTAATTTCTGTAATGTTTCTTAAAGTGATTGAAGTCTTCTTTCGATTTCTTCATATGATATTATTTCTTGAGTGTTTACGTAGTATTCTAGTTTTGCAACTAAGCCTTGTAATGAGGTGCGGGTTTTCCTTAGTTTTTTAATATCAATAGTGGGCATCTCGTCGCCAATTTATTACATACACATTAAACATGGAATATTATTTATTGTAAAAATTACTTTATCAGTGAGTTAACATTAATTATTCTAACGTCGCGTCAGTCTGACAGCTTTCCTATCCGTTACCGTGGCGGTTAGTACATGACAAGGGAGTTTATGATGCGTGCGTTTTGTTTGGATTTTGTTGTGCTTCATTGTGGAAATTTTGTAGTAGATATTTATATTTTTTGTATAATCTGTTGTAAAATACTTAGAAAAATGGTTGTTAAATGTGTTGCTTGGGGCAAAAAGTACTTTAAAGGCAGTTCTGTAACTTTTCACAGGTAGGTAAATAGTCCTTAAATATCATTAGATTTTTTAAAAAATAGTTCGTTTTTGCCGTTTATACCATATATTAATATCGTTTATTCTGTGTTTGTATTCTTCTTAAATTATAATTTATTATGTTTAGATTTCCTTGTAATCCTGAATTAAAAAACCATTGGGTACAGGCCCTAGGAATATCACCAGAGATTGGGGTTAATAGCAGAAGTTGCTCTACAGATTTCAGAAAAACTGAATTTATTTTTACTCCCGATGGTAGAATATTTTTTAAAAGGAAGCTGAACCTACTTTTAGTCACAGAAAGAAGAATGATAATGATTATTAGATCCTTAACCTGGCCCATCTTCAGCAGAAAGGTAATTATTTATTTACGTAGCACTTACAGAAAATAATTTCTAAACATCTAACCGAACACAAATAACTGTAGTGCCTCAAAAAAATATTAAAAGAAGGAAAACCACACAACATCACGAGTAAAACCCACCTTGGCTGGGGAAAGCATTCCTTTTGCAGAGGAGGTGAAATATCTGGGAATCACCCTAGATAAGAAACTCACCTGGAACCCCCAATTGGATAAAACCATAAGCAAAGCCAGATATCCCTCTGGACCCTCAGAAGGATATGCAGCAAAGCATGGGGAATCAGTCATCAACTGATCTACTGGATCTACCAAACAGTGGAAAAACCTATGACTACGTACGGCTCTGTCGTCTGGTGGGACTAAGGACTTCAACGAACGGCCAGAGCAAAGCTGCGTGCCTCGCCATAACTAGAGCAATGTCAACTACACCTACGGGAGCCATGGAGACCATGCTGGACCTAACCCCTCTCCGCATTCTACTGGAAAGGGAGGCCAGAATGGTCTCATACAGGCTCCTGAAAGTGGGTAGTCAATGTTACGAAGAACTGCGATGGGACAAGACAGGGCTGATGAGTGAAATTAATAATCACCCCATCCTCGGCATGGTCTCGGACTCGCTAGTTCCTCGACAGCACATAGAAAAGCCATACAGCGTCTTCATTCCAGAGAGAGACGCATGGAGCAGAGGTAAAAAAACCCTCTCCCAGGCAGACTATGCGTTGTACACGGACAGCTCCAAAACTGAAAAAGGAGTAGGAGCAGGAGTTTTTGGCCAGAGGCCTAGAGTTGACATATCAATAAACCTAGGCTCTCTGGCCATGATTTTCCAAGCAGAAATGATTGCTATAGAATTGGGAGCGAGAGAGTTAATTAATTTTCTCCCCGCAAACAAGACTATAAAGATCTTTTCAGATAGCCAGGCAGCCCTTAAGGCCCTGAGCTCCAATCGAGTTTACTCAAAGCTGGTTTGGAACTGTATAAATACCCTAGAGTGCCTCGGTGCCCGGAACAAAGTTACTTTGATCTGGGTTCTGGGACACAGCGGTGTGAAGGGCAACGAAAAAGCCGACGCACTTGCTAAAAGAGGAACCGAATCTGTGTTCATAGGACCAGAATCATTCCTGAATCATTCCTGGGCATTGCAAAAAGCACTGCCAAAGGAATTATCTCAAAATGGACGGAGGGTGCAACACTAACGAACTGGAGAGATACCCCAGGGCTAACCCATTTGAAGGCGTTTATAATCAACCCTTCTATGAACGCCTCTGCTCAGATCCGAGAATGGATGGAGTGAAAGATCTACGCATTTTCACTAGACTGATGACAGGACACTGCCATCTGGGCAACCACAAGAGAAGGATAGGCCTGCAACAAACATCAGACTGTCGATTCTGCAGCGTGGAGGACGAGTCCGCAGAGTACATTTTATGTACCTTCTCCGCTCTGGAAATAACCGGGTTCCAGATCGTCGGATTTACCCGACTGAAGCCTACTGACTTCAAAGAAGTCTCACCCAATTCAACCATGACCTTTATCAAAAGGTGTGGCTTGTTCGGTGAACTATAAGTTAGTGATGAGCCACAATAGACCCATCTGGGTCGCAGTGGAAGGCAATGAGATCATCCTACTCATTTTCAACCTAACCTAACCTAGACGGAGTTGCAAGTCTCTTTTTAGCACTAAAATATTAAACTTTGTCTGTAATTTAGTCTGTGTCTTTTTACATTTAAAAGTGATGAATGCTGAGTCCGTCGGACAGGAACCAATAGTTGAACTCTTTTAAGTAGTGATCCGCACCTATTAATTTAGCCAGGACTAGGAGTACTTAATGTCTGCTTTATTCTAAATTTGCTTTCTTCTGCATTCCAAACTCTGCATGCCACAAAGCAGTACTCTTGTTTTATAACATGTGTTATGGCTATTAATTCGGTGTTTAAAGAATAGATACTTTACTAATTCATATTGCGCCCGTTTAATTCTATTGATATTAAAGGTGTAAGTAGGTTTCCAAATAAAACAGTATTCCAGGAGACTTCTCACCAGACCATTGTAGAGTGTCATGATTGCTTTTGTATCATTCACTTACTTAGTATAACTCTTGATGAAGCCAAGCATTTTGAGGGCTTTGCATACTATGGAATCTCTGTGGCCGTTAAAAGAGATTGTCGTATCAGAAATAATGCCTAGATCAATACCTATCAAGGAACTATCTACTTAGGTAGATGCTGTTAATGCTGTAACAGTATGATTATGGGATCATGTAAAATAAATGGTTGTGCAGTTACACGCATTTATAGAAAGAGCATTACTTTTAGATCAGGTAACAAATTTATTTAGGTCAGACTAAGGCGGAGTTATTGCCACTGTTTCTACTAAAAAACTTTAAAAGATCCGCGAGACCACGGTAAGTGTTGCATTTAAATTATAGAATAAAATTGGATTGTGTTATTTTCTTAGTTTATGTGGTCTTGTTCAGAGAAGCTAAAAAGCATAGTACATCTTTCCTACTTTGGTGAAAGCATAGTTTGGAAAAAAGCTACTTGCCGAAGGTATTTTACGTGCGTCGCAGTCCAGCGGCTTATATACCACACCACGAAGCTGTTGTGGTATTTAATATTAAAGATCGATCAAGTCCAATACTCAAGTACAAAGACATTATATGGTAAATTCTTTACTATATTAACCAGCGATTTATAATTAGTTTAGATATTTAGTATAGATGTTCTTAGATAAGGTATTTTAGGGTTTTGATAGTTGTTTCTTTTTGTAAAAAAACCCATACTGTTGAAATAAAATCTGTTATTTGAGAATCATTTTATTTCCCACATTTTACCAGTTTTTATAAATCATAGACGATGAACTATTATAGGCTTAAATGCTTTCAAAATGTTCCAGAAGAGGATCGTAAACGAATTATTCGGGAATTCAATTTACTGGGAGATAAAGCTAAACAAAACGCTTATTTGGGTGGCCTCATCACTTTGTTACCGGAGAAGCAAAGACGACCAAGAAATGCTGAGAGCAACTTTAATTTTTTCATTTGGCTACCCACGTAAGGACACGTGCAGTTCATGCGATTCGTTTAAAGCACAGATTTCAGCGCTTGAAGAAAAATTTAAATCCGACCTTGCTATCAACCTGGAAGAGACAAGAAAAAACCTGCTAGTAAAACTGAAGGAGAGAGACGTATATCAAAAGAGAGGTGAGTGTTTCTATAAATTAAAAAAAGGATACCGCAAACGTTCCATGAAATCTTCAACGATGGAAGCCAACGCGATGGAAAAAATTTACCATGCCCCAATATCACCACTAATGATGTGTAATGCCGACGCCAACTGAACTTCATTAGTTTCAACGTTCACATTCTCCCAACGCAGCAGGCAGTTTTTTACACTTATGATGACTCTGTGGCGAAAAAGGATGCAGATGATGTATGCTCTATGTTTCGGCATTTTGTATTTAATATTTTGGTTCTGGAAGTACGTGAACTGTGTATATTTTGTGACTCGTGTGCGGGCCAAAATAAGAATTATACCTTCATCAGGTTTTTACACCATCTGGTTACAAGAGAAGAACGTTTTGACAACATTAAGGTCATATTTCCGATAAAGGGCCACTCTTACTTAGAGTGTGATCGTAATATGAGCATAATTAAACAAAACTCATACACAGAGGTTCCAGACGATTGGAGGAAGGTCTTGAGGAATACTCCATTTACTGTGATTGATTGTGGAGTGGATGTGACTTTTCAAAACTGGACTGATCACCTCTCGTCACTTTACCCAAAAAAATGCCCATTTCCCACCAGACCAATTCGAATGTTGAAATTTTCAGCAACTGGAAGAGATCTTGTGTTTTATAAACAATCTTTTTTTGGCATGTATACATCTTCAGCACTTCAAGGGAATAGAAAACCACAAAGGAAAAACACCAAGAACTCTTCCGCTCCTGTTAAGCCACTGGAAAATTTGTATAGAGGAAAACTTCCAATAAAAGCTGCAAAACATCGCGATCTCCTCCATTTATGTCAGTTCTTGGAAAGTTCAGAGGCAACAATTTTCTACCAAAATTTAACTTCAGACAAAGTTCTCAATGGAGAAAGTGATGAGGAATTCGCTGACGACCCCCCGATGGACGAGTAATTACCTGAAGAAAAGTGATTATTGTGTAAAAATATGTTCATTTTATTTATTTTGTTCAAAATATAAGTTACTGATTTAATTTGATGCTATTGTGTTTTTTTTCAACCCTCCATGAAATGGAAAACATTCAAAAGTGGTTTTCTCGCAATCAGCTGTATTTGACTAACGGGGTTTTTCCTCTGTACCCTTCATGTATTTATTAATAAACCCAGGACATGTTTTATTATGTGATTAAAAAGACATTTCAGGTACCAAACGTTTATTATTGATGAACTTATTTAAAAATTTAACTAGACTTATTCTTATATTATGAAGTGAATTATGTAGTATTTTGTATACATGTAAGTGGTAATAAAACCGTCACAAATCATATTAAGTTTGATTCTAAACAAAGTTTTGCAAAATTTCAATATTGTGAATTTGTAGATATCCATTTATCGTAAAAAACAAAATTTTTCGATTTGCACTTGGAAAATAATGAATACTTCAGTTTTGATTTTGACATTACCACCATATAGATTGCAATTTGCTGGGGACTTTTTCGCAGATTTCATTTTCAATATAAACACTATCACATACTATAAGAAATAAATAAATTTAAAGCTAAAAAATAAGAAAAAACTCAAATTGTAATTGATACAAATTAAAATGTAAACAATGAACATGAACGCCAATGTTTCCAAATGATGAACTGATTTTAAAACAAAATTAATAAATGAACTAAAATTTAAAAAAAAAAATAAATATAATAAATCGGTTTTATAAAAAAATCCTTAAATAAATATAGAGAATGATTACATATTACTATACACAAATTTTGATTCTTAAATAAAAGGTCTTTCAAGAGCTGAAATCCGACGACGTAGCGAAATTTTGCTACTTCTGGCAACACCGAACGATATCCTACTTCTACAAATTTCATCCAGAGGGCGTATCACTTAGCTTGAATCGTGAATTTAAAAATACGTGAACGTTTGATGAAATGTTGGTTGCAGTAGTAGGGTTAAAATTACATTAAAATTTAAAAAAAATCTGCTGTAAATAACTTGTAAATGAAAGAAAAAAATTAAAAATTTTTTGTATGGAGCCTCTAATGGGAATATATTCTATTTCCTTTGATTTTTGATGACTTTATAACATGTAAAATTTTCACAATTTCGTTCTTTTTTTCATTTTCTCAATATATTCAGGAAATAGTATAATACCATTAGATTATTATAAAAGCAAATTCGCATAGATTTATTACCTATTAAGGCCTATGATGATGATGATGAAGGCCGTCTTGCACGTTAAAAAATTTTCCTATGCTAATACATTTGCTGCCGCCACCTAAAACATTTTCACAAGATCTTCTTTCACCTTTTATAAAAAAGGAGATTGTCTTTTTAAATTAATTTAATTTAAAAAAGTAAATTATTTTTCTGTTTCAGGAATTGGAAATAAACAAGTTAAAGGCGGCTATCTTCTACGATACAGACGTAAGTAACCAATAAGTATAATATATTTTTCCCTCTCAGTTTTATATTTTTAAGCTAGCTTTAGTTTAGATTTCAGGCCATTATGGGCTTTAAGCAGATCAACATATTACAATTACATTATTACACAGTACCTTAAAAAATATTCATAGTTTTATATTAACTGTGATACACTGAAAGATAGAGAAACATGGAAAATTTATTAAAAAAAAGTATAGGTCCGTATTTAAAAAAAAAAAAAGGCTCAGTAAATACAAAACGTCATTTTAATAAATTTGTCTAGGAAATATTTAGCAATATTTGGCCTTTGATAAAAAAGCTAAGTTACAATGTTTTCTACCTCTAAAAATAAAGGATTTTATTAAATAAAACGGTTAATAAAATCCCAATCAATCAAAAATTTAAAAACACGTTCCCGGTTCAGCGAATACCAAAAGTGATATACTTTCTGTGCAAGCAAGCGTATCCAGCTAGCACAGACACGTGATTTTCACGTGAAATATACGTCACATTTTACGTCAAAATCACCAAATTTACGTGATTATGACAGCAATATGTCACAGATCAAAGACGTCTTACAGGAACGTAATAAATACATCACCAGATAACGTGTTTAGGCGTCAAAAGAAACATTATAATACTCATTATAATTTATAAAGAAAATGTTTATAAAAAAAAATAGGTATTGCATTCTTGTTACTGCATAAAATGGAGTTTGAGTATGAAATTTAGATTGCTCAACTCATTTACTTTAAAAAAGGTACTCTTGATAAGACTCGATTACTCTCATTGTTTTCGCTAAATTTCTGTTTTAATAATTTAAAGTGTATAGGTTTCACAAAAATATTTATTTACAACATAATCAAAATAGAAATTTTACAAAAATTGTTCAAAATGTTCACCATTTTCACGCATACAAAAATTTATACGTCGAAGAAAATTAAAATGTATCCTTTCCATAACTTCTTCATCACCTCTAAGATTGTTTATTGCATCTTGAATACGTTGCCAGAGTTGTTCTTCATTTTCTACAGGTTCCCTGTAAATTGTGGATTTCAGATGTCCCCATAAAAAATAATCCATCGGTGTTAGGTCTGGGGAACGTTGTGGCCAGTTTACAGGTGCGTCATTACCTCTGCCTATCCATTTGTGTGGATATTGTTCATTCAAGTGGTTTCTAACGTTTAAAGAAAAATGTGGTGGAACTCCATCTTGCATAAACCACATATCTCTCCGAAGTTGGAGAGGTAAATCTTCTAACAATTCTGGCAACGTATTTTGTAGAAAATCCAAATAATTTTCTCCAGTTAATCTTCGTGGAAGTATGACAGGACCAACAATGAAATTACCAATTATTCCAGCCCACACATTAATTTTGAATTCGTGCTGAAAATGGTTTACCTTTATTGCATGCGGATTTTCAACGGTATAAACATGTTCATTATGGGTATTAGTTATACTTATTCTTGTAAAACCCGCTTCATCGGTAAAGAGAACCTTCTTGACAAAGTTTGGATCTCTTTCTCTTTGCATATTAGCAAATCGACAAAAACCCAAACGAATTTGAGGATCATGGACTAATAATTCTTGTACTGGCTTCTTATGGTATGGACATAGCAATTGTTCTCTAAGCACTTTATTAACGACATCTTTACTTACTCCTAGTTCCCTTCCAATTCGTCTGGTGCTTAATTCTGGATCTTCTTCAACACGTTCTAAAATGTCTTCTTCAACTTCAGGAATCCTTACAAAACTTTCTCTTCCATTATAAACAGTGTTGGGTGCAAAGGAACCGGTCTCTCGAAGACGTCTCTCAACAGCAGCAAAAGTTGGGTGGCTAGGTATACGACGATTTGGAAACCTTTTAGAGTACACCCTGACACTCTCTCGAGTATTTCCTTCACAAAATCCTGATGTCAGTAACATATCGGTATATTCTGCATTGGTATATTGTACAGCCATATTAATAAACCACGCATTTGTTTTTTTAATTATTGAGTCAGATAGAACACTTTCAATCGTTAACAAGAGATTAGGTGTTAAAACTTGACAATATTTTTATTTAGATGAAACTATGGAAACCAACAATAAATGTTTTTGTAAACGTATTGCAGGAAAATAATTAATATTCCTCAAAAAATCGTACATGGCAAGAATCGAGTATTTTTGTTAAAAGTCTCGATTAGAGGTGTTGAAGAAGATATGAAAAAAGTACATTTTTATGTTTTTCATCGTATAAAATTTTGTCCGATAATAATACATAGGCGTAGAACTTGATTTTTTAAATAATTGCACCTTTAAAAATTCTACGCCAATGGCAAAAAAGGGGTTTGAGTATAAAATTTGTATTGGGTACTTATTTACTACAAAAAAGTACCCTTGATAACACTCGATTTACTCTCACGGTTTTGACAAAGTTTGTATTTTAATAATTATTGTTTGTTCTAAAATTACTAAAATGCAAATTTCGTCAAAACCATGAGAGTAATCGAGTCTTATCAAGAGTACCTTTGTTAAAGTAAATGAGTTGCGCAATCTAAATTTCATACTCAAACTCCTTTTCATTGGCGTAGAATTTTTAAAGGTGCAATTATTTAAAAATTCAAGTTCTACGCCTATGTATTATTATCGGACAAAATTTTAATACCGTTTTTTTTGCCACATAAAACTCTACCAATATACCAAATTTCAGCAAAATCGCAAATGCCGTTTTAAATTTATATGGGAAAAACGATTTAAAAATTGTAACTTCACGGCCCTCTGGAGCCCAAACGAAGCATCTTTGTACTAAGGTAATTTTACTTAAATCGACTGATTTTGGTCTAAGGAATATGTGGTATGTTTTTGTAAAGACCTTTTACAGACACCCTGTATAGTAAGTATACTAACCTGAACTATTTCTAAATAAACATTACTTATTACATATGTACTTAGAAAGTATAAATTAATAGTATATTATGCAACGATCATGTAATGATGGTTATTAATACACGAGCATTAACCGGGATACGAAACGAGCCAAAGGCGAGTTTCGTATGGTTTATGCGAGTGTTTTAATAACCATTACATGAGAGTTGCATACGCTATTTTTTCTACACCCGATAAATAATCAAGACCTATAAATATTCTATTTATATTGGCATTGAACACAATAACAGTAATTACTCGTATTTCTATAAAAAATTCTACAAAATTGTAATTAATGGTATTAACTTGGGTATTGGTATTACCACAGATTTTTGGGGCAAAATATTTTGTACTGCATTTTCTCCTTTCTCCGATATGTGTGGAGGAGTCTTCTATATCGCTGATATCAGACATTTTAATATTATAATTATCGAAGTTTAGCTATCTACGAAAATTTAATACGTTTTGACAACTAAAACAATTACATAGGAATTTAGGACAAACGTCAAACATCATGCTTGATTGAAAAATTGTAGGTTTCTATTGATTAAAAATCTGTATCATAATGAAAAATCTGTATCATAATGGGTATCATTATGAAACGGATTATGGGCATAT